TTGGTGATCCAAACCCACCTAGCGGTACCATGGAAGAAAGGCGTGGCAGTCTGCCTCCATAAAGATTACGGCCAGGAAAACCCTCGGAGCAGTTCTGCTCTGTAACACACGAGGTCCCCGTGGGTTGGAACTGACTCGATGGCAACAGGCTTGGATGTGTGGTTTGATTATGTCATTGAGATTGGTTTTTACTTTACAATGATGCGCATATATTCTCATGAGTTTCAAAAATAGTCTCAACCATCATCTCTGTGTATCAGTTAGCGAAAAATGTGTCTATTCCTCTGTCTGCCATTTAGGAACTTGGCTTGGTTTCCTCAGCTTTTGACTATTTTAATAATACTACGATGAATGTCTTATCCATTGATCTTTATGTACAATGTGGATTATTTTCTTCTAATGAGTTATTTTAAGTTGACTTATGGCTCAAGGATCTGAAAAAAGTTGAGGTTTCTTGGTGCACATTGTCACATCTCATCTCCTTGTGACTGCAATGGTTTACACTCATCAGCAGTCGGAGTGACCATTTTCTGACTGATTTCCAATTCTGAGAGTTCTTTTCTCATTGCTGTTGACTTTAAAGGGCACAGGATGAGGGGAGGAGAATTCAAATGTAGAAGAAATGTGCCGTATGCTGCGGATCAGAGAGCTCACTAGGGCCAAGCCCCAGACCCATTTGGGAAGCACTGTTTCCAGGTGGGAGCCCAGGGATGGGGCAGCCCCAGCCCATTGGCTCAGTTGGTGTTTTCCAGGATTGAGTGTTCAGCTTGGCTCGGTGTCCTCTCGGTGCCAGCAGGGTCAGCTTCCTGCACTGGGCAGCTTGTAAGGTCAAGAGCAAGGGCCAAAGCCCCTGGGAATCTGCTCCAGCCAGCCTTTTCAGTGGAGCTGGTAACTCCATCCCTCAGCATCAGATCCTAGACATACCAGACAGAGGCCTTTCCCAGCAGTCCCGAGAAGGAAGGGCTTTAACATCCCCACAGCACATGGGTGGGTGGGGTACATAGTGTTGATAGAGCGCCTCCTCTGCCAGGCACTGGGCCAGGGTCGGTGGGTGGAGCACGCTGGCTCAGCTGTGGTGTCCAGGATTAGACCTTTCAATCAGGCCTAGTGAAATCCCAGACAGAAATTCCTGTCCTCATGGAGCAGACCTTCTAGCTGGGGTAAGAGATGAGGAAACCAAGGCTCAAGGAGATGGTGTGGCCTGCTCAAGGTGTGCCCCTTCTCAGTGTCCTGGGGTGGGTGAATCTGAGCCTGGGAGCCAGATAGGGACGCCTGAGTCATGGTCGTAAACCACCTGAGAGAGCTGTGGTGGGGATTAAATAAGCGATGTACCCAAACCACCATCAAACCAAACCAAACCTACTGCCATTGAGTCAAATTCCACTCATCGCCACCCACATTGGGTTTCCAAGGCTGCAAATCTTTACAGAAGCAGACTGCCTCATCTTTCTTCCACAGCGTAGCTGGTGGGTTTGAACCACTGACCTTTTAGTTTGCAGCCAAATGCCTTAACTACTACTATACCACCAGAGCTCCTTGGAAACATATTTAAAAAAAAAACAAACAACAACTTTGTGCTATCAAGTTGGATCCGACTCATAGTGACCTCTCCTTCAGGGTTTCTGAGGCAGTATCACTATGGAAGTAGATTGCCCAGTCTTCCTTCCGAGGAGTGCCTGGTGGGTTTGAACTACCAGCCTTCTGGTTAGCAGTCAAGTGCCTTAGGCAGTGCGACACCACACAGAAGCACCTATTATTAGATGCCCTCTTACTATCATTGTTGGAATTGTTATCATTTTTCTCCTTTGTTCTTATTACTGGTGTTGTTATCCCAACAGGCCATTCCCCTGCTCTGCTGCTTTGAGCAGCCTCCCCAAACGCTAAGGGCAGCAGTGAAACCTCTGTGTCCTGAAGATGGACTCTCTTCTGGATCTGGTAGCCAAAGTTTGCCTTCCTGCCAGACAGTTAAGAAAAATAGGCAGGACCTGCCATCTGCTGGAGTTTGGTGGGATTGCTTCAGATAGACAAGCCCCATCTTTATTTTACCAAACCGAAAACTGGACTCACTGCCGTTGAGTTGGAACCCACTCACAGCGACCCCTCCTTGGGTTTCCGAGGCAGTATCACTACGGAAGTAGATTGCCCAGTCTTCCTTCCCAGGAGTGGCTGGTGGTTCGAACCGCCAGCCTTCTGGTTAGCAGTCAAATGCCTTAGGCACTACGCTACTACAGATAGGGGTAAAAAACAAAGGCCCAGACAGGTGCAGAGCCTTGCCTGGGGACAGGTGGCAGAGCTACATCCATAACACAAGGTCCCATCTCTGATTTCCTCTCTCTCCTGCAGGACACCTCCCGGTCTCCCCTGCATGATCTTTGAGTGCCCCTCCCCTCCTTGGCATTCTGCCTCCCTCCCACCCCACCCCAGGACTTAATGAGGGCCCCACTCTGGCACTTTCCAGACACTTCCTGTCACCATCAGTAACCATCTAAAAGCTTTACAAAATAGCTTGGGCTTATACAGACGTCAGCCATTACAAAATTGTTGTTGTTGTTGTTGTCAGTTGCCATGAAGTCGGCTCTGACTCAGCGACCCTGTATGTTCAACAGCATGAAACACTGCCCAGTCCTGGGATCAGTGTTTTACTGCTATTCATAAGGTTTTCATGTTCATGGCCCAGTTCTTCGAGAAGTGGATGGCCCTGTCCTTCTTCCCAGTCTGGCTTAGTGGGGAAGCCCCACTGAAACCCATCCACTGCGGGTGACCCTGCTGGTATTTGAAATATTGGTAGCATAGCCTCCAGCCTCACCGCCACACACAAGCCGCCACGGTCGGACAAATTGACAAGAGTTTCTCGTTACTGACAAGAGTTTCTCGTTCTCACAGAGAAGTTGACAAAGTTGAGTTTTTTTTTCATGTTCGTTCGTTCTTTTTCTTTTTTTTTTTTCATGCTGACGTCCTTCCCCACAGAGACTGAGTTTCATTGCAGGGGTGGTTTTGCGTCTTTCAGTGACCAGTGTGCCAGACATCTCGCTCCGTCAGTGCACATCCGTCTGCTGCATTTCTCTTTATGATTATAATTCATGTGACGTCATCTGATGGACATCTGAGTGGTTCCCTACAGCTGCTACGACAGACAGATCATGTGCACCACCATCCATGCACCCCCTCCCCACACACAGCATTGGATGTGGGCCTGTGTGTGTCTGAAATCAGGATTCGCTGAGGCCACCCCAACTACACTGTGAACTCCTAAGGTCAGGCCAGTGGCTTGGACCGCTTCCTAACTTAGGGTCTGCCAAGTAGCCCGACTTTATGGAATGACAGTGATGTCATCACTTTAAGACAATTTCAGATGCTTATGGGAGATACTAGTATCCCTCTATCAGATTAACCTTTTAAAAAAAAAAAAATGTAATGCCAGTTATTGGCAAAGGCACGGATCAGTGGGTAAATCTGGTGATAATGTAAATGGGAGCAGTGTTGAGTTTAGAAGGGTGGTTTCCCTCATCTTTTTGCCATTGTAAATACCACTGTCCCATTTAGGAAAGCAACTTAGTGGTAGTGTCAGAGTCTTAAAATTGTTGCACACTACAGATTCTACTGCTAGAGATATACTTTAAGGAAATAATTAGGAGTGAGCACAGATACTGTGTAAAGGCCTAGTGCTGTCTGTAGTGGTGGGAAATTGCAAAGAAGTAGAAGCGTTCCTTTCTCAGGGATGGTCAGATCAGTCACGGTTTAGCCGAGTGCATGTACAAATATCACAGAGAATGAGCCTCAGTAATGCGTTCCACGGTACTCTCAAGAGCAGACTGTGAAGTGAAGCATGCAGTATGACTCTACAGTGATTCTTCACGTGTGTATGGCTCTTCTTCATATATGTGTGTTTCTCTTCTCTTCCCTCTGGGCTGTGTTAACAACTCTAGGGTGTTATCCCACCCATCTCTGACGCAATAACTCCTGTTTACATCCTTCCTCGCCTTTCCCTTAGGCTTCTTTTCCAGCCGTGTATCTCCATGGACCTACCACTACCTCTCCTTTTGGGGGGCTCACAGGCATCTCAGAGTTAACGTGGCCAAAGCTCCCTCGTAATCTCCATCCACCTTTATTCCTTGACATAGTCCTCTTGCCCCGTTCTCCATCTCCATAAGCCACATGTGTCCACGTGCATATTCAGGTCAGAAGCCTGACTTCCCTATCAGTCAAGCACCAAGTCCTATTGATTCATCCTCCAGATTACATCTAGAATCTGTATGAAGACCACCACCACCTTGTTCCACCCACCATCTCCTTGCATTTGAACTTCGGCGGAGACTCCTCACTCGCCCCCTTCCCAGCCCTGTTCCACACAGTGCCTAGCCCATCAGTCCTGACCTTGCCCTAGAGCTCTCAGGGGCCAAATTGCGGGTGTGACCTGGCCCCTGCCCATCTCAGCAGTGTCCTCCCTGTCCCTGTCCCTGTCCCCCTCCTGCCCTGCCAGGTTCTTCCAGTGCATGATGACTCTTAGCCTTTATCAGTGCTGTTCCTCACTCTTCACCTAGGCATTACTTCCCCACTCTTGGATGAAGATGTCACTTCCCAGCCTTGGCTTAGCCCTGGTAGTCACTCCAGCACCCTGCATTCTCCCTTGAAGCTCTGAGCACTGTGCTCACTACTTAGTTGGTTATAAGGTAATGTTATGCCACCCCCAGTAGACCGTAAGCTCAGACAAGGCAGAGACCATGGTGACTCATTCATCAGTGCATTTGCAGTGCCTGGCGTGTGATGGTGACACGTGTGACTGTTTATCAGTGACTTAGAGATATAGAGAGGATGCTCTTTAAAATGTTGACACTGGTTATCTGGGTGGAGAACTATGGGTAACCTGCTTGGTTCTTGGTATTTTTCTGTACTTTGTTTTGCCTTCATTGAAATAGATGGTAGCATATTTTGTCAGATTCAGGGAGCTGGTGAGTCTCCTGTGCCCCTGCCTCTGGACTCACCTGTGCCCCGCCCCGCAGGCTTGAGAGCGATGCGCCAGGCGTGATGGAGGTTGAGTCCTCCTACTCGGACTTCATCTCCTGTGACCGCACGGGCCGTCGGAACGCGGTGCCTGATATCCAGGGAGACTCCGAGGCTGTGAGCGTGAGGAAGCTGGCTGGAGACATGGGCGAGCTGGCTCTGGAGGGAGCAGGTCAGAACCAATGGGCCTTTGGTATTCCCCCTGCTGGCCTCTGGGGCTGGCCGCCAAGTCTTAAATGCCCCACTGTCCTTCTTGGAGAACAAGCTGCATTAAAATCAGGTCCCATTGCCATGATCACTGGCAGAGTCCAGCCAAACATTTGGCTGGAGGGTCCCCAGGGCCAGGCACGGAGGAACATCTTGGATCATGAGGGCTCTCTGGCTGGTCATCCTGGGCTCCTCCCTCCCCCATCCACTTAGTCCACCTGCAGGTCCCTCCAGGTCTGCCTCCAAGATCCATCCCAGGGCCTCCATTTCACCCCATAGTCCCCGCCCAGCCCAGGCCCCTCAGCTCTCCCCTGGTGGAGGGATGGCCTCTTTCCACTCTCCCTGAACCCTCTCCAGCTCTCCCGTCCTGCCCACACCACAGCCCACAGGATTTGTGTAAACTGTCCTGTCCTGGCACGATTCTCCTAAAACCCCCAGTGGCATCACACCCAGAGTGAAGCCGCCCTCATCACGGTGCCCTCCAGCAGTCCCCCTGTGGCCCACCTCCCCTTACCTTCCCCTGTAGCCACATCCTGTGGGCTCTTCTTCAGTCCCTCCACCTGGTTTCCTCTGCTTAGATCACCTCCCACCCAGGCTGCTGCCGCCTCCCACTCCAGGCCCGAGCACAGACACCAGGCTCGCAGAGGGGCCTTTCCTGATGGCAGAATTGCCCAATCACTGTACCCTCATCGCTCTTAGGAGCTCTGGTGGCATAGTGCCTAAGGCATTGGACTGCTAACCAGAAAGCTGGCGGTTCAAACCTACCAGCCACTCCTCGGAAGGAAATTGAGCAATCTACTATGATAGCAATACCTCCTTGGAAACCCAAGGAAGGGTTGCTATGAGTCGGATCTGACTCGATGGCAGTGAGTTTGGTTTGGTTTTGGTTTTCATCGTTCTTGGACAAGGTATTTACTGTCCTGTAGCACGTATTCAGTGGCCACCTGAATGGAGGACCCGTAGCACCTGCCGCCCCATGACGTTGCCTGGGGTGCCCTTGTCTCCATCTCTCTGTTGTCCTCTTCTAGGCCCAAGTCCATTGGTCAGCCCTGGGCCCCTCCTGTAGGAAGCCTCCCCTGGTCTCCCTGCACTGACAGGTCCCTCTCCCCCATCCCACAGCACCATGGAGGCTGTGGCTTTGGTCACGTCACTTCCCATAACCCATTGCAACTGCTGGGCTCTGTGTCTATCCCTGTTGGGGCTGTCTTTGAAGAGCTACAACCCTGTCTTGTCCCTTTGTGTCCCCAGCCAAGAGCCCTTGGCCCTTGCTGGTCAAAAGTGACCTGTAAGCTTACTCAGAGCAGAGAAGCTTCATGGGAGCATGGAACCCATCCTGTGAGTCCCAGAGAGGTTGAGTGGCTTGAGTGTGTCACCCAGCAAGTTCACACTGATAGCATAAAAACCTGGCTTGAGAGAGAGAGAGTCCCCTTGAGTTCCCACTCCCACCTCCTACCTCCACCCCAAAGCATCCCTGGTCATGTGGCAGCACGGGGCCTCCTCCTGCTGCTCCCCTCTCCAGCCTCAGCACTGTCTCCCTGGGCGCCCTGTGAGCAGCGGGCCTGACACGCTGCTCCCTCTGTCTGCCCCTCCTCCTTCCTGCCTGGCTCTGCCTCATTCTTAACAGCCCAAGACACCGGCTCAGCTTAGAAGCCTTCCCTGACTGTGGGGCTGCCCTCTCAGACAGGGGCACCTCTTCTGCTGCCTCTGTAGCCCCCAGTGCCCCTCCCCTAGACCGCACTTCTCCAGCACTGGGTCTGTCTGTGCCCTCGGTGCCTGGTGGTGGTTGGTACATGATAGAGCGGCCCAGTCAATGGCTGTTCACTGACCAACTGAGTAACCACGATGCCCAGCT